ATGCTGGTGTCCTGGCTTCCATCTGTGGTTCCACAGAAGAGAACTGGAAACAGCCATCATCCTTGCTAGTTAAAAAGAAAAAAAAAATCATTCTGTGTTCTCGGTGGGCAAAGGGAGCTCATTGGAGTCTAGCCCTTCCGCTCTGTCCCTTTGCCTCCAACAGCTGCTTCAAACACTGAGCGAGAGATTGTCCTGAATGTGGCTGCTGTGGGAGAGACTTAGATGGAAGCATGACCTGTACCTCTTGTGTGTACATACAAGAGTTCCGCCCCAGCCCTGAAACGGCTGCTATAATCCCTGCCCACTTTAGAATCTCTTGAAGATTTGTTTAGCAGTAACCATGGGGTTCAATTTCTCTGTACATAGTCTAATTTTAAAATTCAGTTGTATAATGTTTTAAACTTTGCTATTTGTCTCCCTAGAGATAACAAGTCCCATTAGGGCGCCTACGTTATCATTTTCAAGGAATTAAGAAACATGACTCCCGTGCAAATACCGTGCCTGTGAGAGCACTTGCTGGGCTCGTGGATCAATGCGGCAGCCACCAGGAGGCTGTAACTGGACTGCTTTAAAGCATGATTTGAGGAATGACATTTCTATGGGCAATTGGGAATGAAGTGAATATATATTTTTTAATAGATGAAAAGCTTGTCAACTTTTGGCTGTCAAGGGAGAGCACTAATTAGGAAGTCTTTAAAGAAAGGGGAGGCACGTAGCTTAGCACAGGTGAGAATTTTGCTTTGGCTTGTTGAGCTCCTGGCTGAACCTTGAGTGCATTATGACAACTGCCTGCTTTAGGATTGATAGTGAGGGACTCGCTCCTATTTCATGTAGCCATTTCTCTCTCAGGTGGAACTGCTTCCTTGCATAGTCAAGTTTGGTGGTGGGATGCCCTCACGCCTGGTAACTCTGGCTTTCTGATGCTCTCCTTGTCTTCATGGGTTATTAAAGATAAATTAATTGATTGTTAGAGATAAAGGCCCCATTTGATAGAGCGCACATTGCTACCATGAGAACGGTCTCGAAGGACCAGGAATCTAAAACAGTTACAGACTGGAAGGTAGACGGTCAAGCCCGAAACACAACACCTCACACTCATTCCTGTTAAACCACTGACTGAACTTTCCCCATCGTCCTCCCCTCCATGTTAAGTTGGGACCCTGCTGTCTTCCCCTTGCTCTGTCTGGCTTCTCCATGTGCTTTATTTTCACTGTGTGGAAGCGCTCTCTCTCTCTCTCTCTCTCTCTCTCTCTCTCTCTCTCGCTCGCTCGCTCTCTCTCGCTCTCGCTCTCGCTCTGTCTGCCCTCAAGTTAGACTATGGACTGGGCCTGGCCAATCAGACACAGATCACACCTGATAAACAAGAGAAATTTTTTATTACCTTTTGGTTATCAAATGCCAGTAATGTTATTCTTGGCAGCCCAGCCCAGCAGGTAGAGAAAAGCAAGAGGAGCAGGCAACCCAGGCCGGAAAATATTTACAGGGAAATGTTGGCTTGCTTGAAGCTATTCGCCTCCCCCCACTTTTCTTTCTGTCTTTTTTCTTCTCTTCTCACTTCCTTCTTCCTCACTCCTTGGTTACATGTCACATAAATTCTAATCTTAAGAGCAGTGTTAAGATGCAAAATTCTATTATCTAAACGTATGATGCCATGTGTTTGAGTCACAGAAAAACATTATTTTAATTATTGAAACTCTTCATTGCTATAATCAATCACAAATGTCCCTAGCAGTTCTACTCTGCCTAGGCTCTATGCCCTCTGGCTTCACTTCATCTGAGGGACATGCCTTCTATGGTCCTGTCCCAGGACTGCTTCCAAAGCTGGATGACCAGGTAGTCCTTTATCCCCAGGGAAGGCTCAAAATTGTTGATCCAGACACTTCAGAATCAATGGCCCTCTTAAATCCCAAGTAAATGGAAAAAGTAAGCTCCAGGGTGCAGGGAGCAAAGGGCCTGGGGCTGAGCTACTCCAGCCTCTGCTAGACCCCTTTGCTCAGCTTCGCCTTGGCGATCACTGTCTTCGAAGACCCCTAAAGCGGCACTGCCCAGGGAATGCGAAAAGTGACATTGTTCTTTTCAGAAGACCTTCATTCATGGTAGAAATGGGCAGGTTGATTAGAATAATCATTCACAAATATATTTTACTTTAGTGACTGCAAAAGAAAGTACCTAAAACCACAAGAAAATTTTTGTTTTGTGTTTGTTTCGAGACAAAGTTTCTCTATGTCACCTGACCGTGCTGGAACTCACTCTGTAGATTACGCTGACCTCAAACGCAGAGATCTGCCTGCCTCTGCCTCCTAAGTGTTGGAGATTGAAGACGTGTGCCACCACCACTGGGTTAAGAAGTATCTTTTCAAGGAAAGGACTACGGAATATTGATCTTTGTGTATTCTGGCAATGGCTTTGGTAGCCCATGCTGGCCTTGACTGCATGTCCTTGCAGTGCTGGGATTATGCCTATGTTTCACTATTTCTGCAAGCCTCCTCCTTCTCTCTTCATGTGGTACTAGAACCTGAGCCTCAGACATGCTAAGCACGTGCCCTTCTACTGAGCTATAATGCCCCTGACCCAATGCTTCATTTCTTAAGCCATACAACCCTTGTCACATTTAAAACCTATTTTAGTTTGTCTTGTGTGTGGCAGTATGTATGTGCACCTGAGTGCAGCTGGCAGAGGAGACCAGAAGGTGACATTACAGGAGACCCAGAGCTGGGGTTACAGGCAGTTGTGAGCCATTCAAATGGTACTAGGAACAAAATTAGTATCCTCTGCCAGAGCAGTAGGAGAATGTAACTGCTGAGCTGTTGTTCTGCTTAAGGCTATCCAGGATACATCTTACTGTTGCGTTTTGTGCTTATTCACTTGCTGAGGCTGAATGTATACAATGGTTCAGGCAGAATAGGTGTTAGGGTCGAATATGAAAATGCAAGGAACTGTTGAAGCATTAAGTGTCCTAGGTAATGTGAAGGCGGGTGGTTATTTGGCCACTTCCTCTGACTTGACACAGCCCTTCCTACAGGGAAGAGGGTAAGCCTCAGCAAAGCTCAGAAAGTCAACGGCTCCTAAGGCCCCACAGCGGCAGTCATTACACAATTGCTCCGGTCTCTAGCGGAGCTGCGTGCAAGCAGTGCAAGGAGCTCCAGCAATGGAGTTCTCTCATGAGCTGCACCCATGCTAGGATGGGCTTTCCTGTTGCTGTAGCTACCTTTGAGTTCTCCATACCCTTTTCTTTAAGGAACCCCTCACTTGCATCCCTATAAATAATTCCCCCAAGATAGATTTAGGAAGAAATGATTCTTTGGTTTATTATCAATGAATGGCGTTTGGAGGGAACAGGAATTTGCTCACGTCTCCTCAGGAGAGTCACACAGCAATGGTCACCCATTTCATTTCAATGTCAGAGACACGATCAGCTATTTTCTAGGTGCTGGAGGACAGACCTGGGTTCAGATTTGGGGCTTCACTCACTCAAGTTATTAAACCTACATCATTATCACTAATCATTAATAGGGTATCAGAACACTCGAGCAGCTGAGATTATATAAAATTCATTCAGAGCACATGGTCTGGAGCCTCATCATACCACTGTTCTTGCTTTGTGGATGCTACTGGGATTGAAAGTGAGTATGTCACCCCTGTGACTTTCTGCAGACACGGGAACTGAGATTCACAGGGACGAGGCCACCAGTGTCTTATGCTGCTAAACTAGGCAGGCAGCTAGGGCCAAAATAGCTGCTCTCAGGAGAGAGAACTGCCTCCCATAACCCCAGCCTTAGTGGAATGTCTGCTATGAGGGATTTTTCAGGGATCTTTCTGAACTCCCACCTCTAGACTTGGAAATATGCACACTCAAAGTCAATTTCAACTTTAAGATTTCCCCTCCCCTTTCCCATCCTCAGTTGATGCTAGATTTTGAGGTGAAAGGATTACTGAATGAAGGTCCATTTGTGGGGGCCAGGGATTGACTGGTTGTTTTTGCAGAGGACCCGAGTTTGATTCCTTGCACCCACATGGTGACTCATGACCGTTTGTAACTACAGTTCCAGGGGACCCAGCGCCTTCTTTTGCTTTCCGTGACCACGTGGCACACATCCATACATGCAGGCAAGACATTCACCCATATAAAATACATCTTTTAGAAAAGTTCATTTGTCCCTAACTATACTACTTCCATCCCACCCCCATTTATTCTTCGATGAGTCTGTTATTCTGACCCCCGTCCACATTTCGGAAGCATCTTTTGGTGGGAGAGCTATCCCAATAGTGCTATTCTTCCTATTCCCCCATCCACCATCGGTTGAATCCCGGAATATGAGTCGATAAAGAGTAGTCTTCATTCCTGATAGTACAGCGGTAACATCCCAGCCCCATACTTTTTCTTTAGTTTAGTTTTTAATGAAATGCACTGGGCGCCAGTAACCTAAGAGACCGGGGAAAAAAACGTGGAGGAGAGAGATTTTAGGAGCTAGCCTCCTTTCCAGGAGCCACTTATGATTAAGTGATAGAGAAAGGTGCTCTGGGGCTGAGCAGGAATTTCAGCAGAAAATACACGCTGTCCAGTGGATTGCCCCAGGGCATTGTGGCCGAGCTGCTCAGAAGGTCCAATCAGAGAGCGCTTAGAGCCTTAGGCTTAGTGCTCTTTAAGGTACTGAGCCGGGTAGAGACCCCGGCACCTGGCCTTGAGCTCTGCCACGGGTGAGTCCGTTTCTGAAGGAGTAGGTGTATCCCTTAGTTCCAACCCTAGATGTTCGCCGGGGGACCCAGGAGGACGCAACAGGTTCTCAGAGTTCTGGGTCCGGTAATCCTGTTTCTAGAGCCCCTAGGCAACCCGGGGCGGGGCAGAGGGGCGGGCTCTCACTCAGCAACCAGGGTTGTGTCCGGAGACTGGATTTAAATAATTCATGAACCAAGAGGTGGGAGCTACCCGGGAGGCGTGGGGCTGGAGAGCGCCGAGACCCGAGCGGGAGCTGGAGCTGAGCGGTGAGTAGTTTCGAGTGCCGACCGGGCTGAGCGCACCCTCTTCTAGAACACCCAGGGCATGGAATGGGAAGTGGAGGAGGTCGTCCAGCGCCTCCTAGCTCCTCCACAGCAGGTGGCGGGAGCCTAGGTTGCATTCCCAGAGCTGGAGGGGCTGCAAGGTGGTTTAGGTCCCGGCTACCGGGCGATCCCGGGATCTGAAGGGCCAGCTAGAGCGTGCAAACTTTTTCCCGTGGTGGTGACCGGCTCCGCGCGGTATTGCTTTGCTCGGGTGCTTCTTCCATCCTATGGAAGGGGTGGAGGTCCCTGGGTTCCGGAGACGTGAGCAGGCGGCGGCGAGACTCCCAGGCCCTCGGCCGGCTATCGGAAAGGGCGGCGAGAGCAGAGGAGGATTGGGTCTCAAGACTCAGCCCTCAGTCCTCGTCTTGAGAATTCTTCTGCGGTAAGGAGAGCCCCGGGAAAGGCCCGGGGGACGCGGGACTCCCAGCCACCGTCTGCTACCTATGTGCAACGCACAGTATTACTGGCCCGAGTGGGAGGGCGACGGGGGTGCAAGAGCAAACCGCCTCCCCGCGGCCGTTGCAGAGCGCTCGCACCCGGGGCTAGAAGCCCTGGCTTCAACCAACCCTCCGGGTCGCACAGAACCGACACTTTCGGCTTTCCTGGGGATGGAGACCAGGGGCGCTTCGGGTACACCTTGACGGAATGCGGGGTCTGGGGACAACAAAGAGTGTGGACAGACCAGAGCTTCGTGGCAGCTGGAATATCGAGACTCGGGTTGAGTTTCCGAGAACGGGTCGGAGAGGGACTGTGAGGAGCTCGGCTCCAGTCCTCAGATCGTGTCCAACAGGGACTCGGAGGGGAAACGCCGCGGTGGCGCTCGGGACGGCGGGTCTCAGGGACGACCCCCTCCCCCAGGGCTACAGCGGATTCCTGGAGGTTCCCAGCTTCGCGCGCCGCCTCGCAGCCGGTTCTTTTGTGTTCAGCAGTCCAGGAGAGGCCCCTGCGAAGCCGGGAATGAGGGAGGAAGGGAGGGCACCGATCTGGTGGCAGCTTGGAGGAAAGATGCCCGCGTTTCCTGCAGTTCCTCCTTGCTCCGGGAGCCCACTCTGTTGCTCTCTTGTTCAGTTGTGCACTTTTCTCATGCCCAGGCGAAGAAAGGTTTGCTCGATGTCTTGTGGGCGGTTGCTGGTCTTTGTTAAGCGAGTGAAAGATTGAGGTCCTGCAGGCCCCTCCACCCCGACTCAGCAGAGACCCAAACAACTTGAACAATGAGTTGCATTGAACCATAAGAAAAACTTTTTTCTTTTGATTGACCAATTGAATATTGGCAAATTCATACGGTTCAGCTTGAGTGACTACTTACTTTTCTCATTCATTTGTGAATTTACCTCTTTGAATCACCACGGAGCTGACATCTGCCCGCATGAGCCTAGGAGTCACGGTTGCTAGCCGTTAAAGTTTATGGACAGCACACGTTGTGCTAACTTCTTTACCTGTAAGCATGTTAATCTGCCCACCCCACGCAGAAGCCCGTTTCACATCAGAGAACGTAAGCAACTTTCGTTCTCGCAGGATTAGCGAGTGGGACCAGAGAGACCTGGCCCAGTTTGAAAACTTGGCATTTACTTGCTGTTTATCAGGGCTCTTTAGTTTTTTTTTTCTTTTAAGTGTTCCATAAAAATTTTCATGGACTTCCTTATGATTTCTATATTGAAGTAGTATTTCTCTGTGTTCTAGTTCAGTGAAGTAAACAAACACACCAAAGGACAAAACACATCAAACACACTAGGAATCAAAGAAATGACTCAATGCTTGGGAACACTGGCTGCTCCTCTACAGGGCCCAGGGTTCAATTCCTAGCACCTACATGGCAGCTCACAACTGTCTGTAACTCCAGTTTCAGGAGACCCATGGCAACAGGCGTGCACGTGGTGTGCATACATCTGCACGAAGGCAAAACACCCATATAAAAGAAATAAATCTTAAAAAAGAAAACAATATTTTACATGTTGTTGATTTTGTTTATAATTTGAGGGAAATAGGTTTTGTCAATTGTCAAAAACCACCTGCTGGAAGGAGAGAGAGCACAAGCAAGGAACTTAGGACTGGGAGGGGTGCACCCATACACTGAGACAATGGGGATCGGGAACTCACCAAGGCCAGCTGGCCTGGGTCTGAAAAAGCCTGGGTCAAAACTGGTCTCGCTGAACATAGGGGACAAGGAGGACTACTGAGACCTCAAGAACAATGGCAACGGGTTTTTGATTCTACTGGACCTAGTGGTTTTGTGGGAGCCTAGGCAGTTTCGTGGATGCTCACCTTACTAGACCTGGATGGAGGTGGGTGGTCCTTGGACTTCCCACAGGGCAGAGAACCCTGATTGCTTTTTGGGCTGACGAGGGAGGGGGGCTTGGTTGGGGGAGGGGGAGGGAAAGGGGAGACGGCGGTGGGGAAGAGACAGAAATGTTTAATAAATAAATAAATTAATTAAAAAAAAACCACCTGCTGGTTTTTAAGAACTAGGAAGCTTTGTTACAAACAATACAAACTAGTCCAACATGTGTGTAACAGACAGATGTTCTTGGGGGACAACGGCTTAGAGGAAGTGGCAGGAGGGTTGGATAGTCAGCTTTAGCGACACAGGATGGGTGACAGGCCTTCTGGTTGGTGTATACTTGTGATGGGCACGGCAGAACTTGAATATGGCTGCTGTTCTGCCACCGGCAACCCTAGAATGAATTCAGCTAGAATCCACTCAGCTTCAGTGTCTACCCCAGGCTCAGGCCCAAGAGAAAGCATCTTACTGACCTAGATGGCTCACCCCAGGACCCATCTTGGCACCCCAGGTGGCCTCACAATGAGAGGTAGGGCTGCTCCCCAGAGAACTCATAAAGGTGAGCTCAGAAGTCAAGTAGTCCCTCACCCCCAAAGCAGTGTCCCTGAAGACAAACATTTATATCTACCACGGAGATCCTTGTAGAAAAGTGAGCACTTCCTTCCCATCAAAAGAAAATGGTGTGAAGCTAGTGGTCACCCCGTCTGCACATGCAGAAATGGAGCTATCCAGACTTCAGACTCAGGATCATGGGAGGTACGTGCTTAGCACTGACTGTAGTGGACTCAGATTCCAAAGCTTGCAATGGTGAGGCTCAATAGCGGGTCAATAGTCCTGCGGGGTGGGGGGGCAGTGAAGAGACGGCCTGCTGATTTTAAAGCAGCCTTAAGCGATCATAGTGATCATAAGAAGTCCCTGGAGGTAGGCTAGTATCTGTCCTCCTTAAGGGTGTAAGATTGCCAACAGGTAGTTGCCTGGCTCAGCTGTAGAAGTAAAGATGATGACCTATGGCAGCCTCATTCCCATCTTATTTCGGCCATCCTTTACTGGGTATCTCCTCTGGACCAGGCCCTGGGGTACCTGGAGGAGTCAGTATCCCCTGCATGTCACACTTCATCTGGTGCAGATCAGGTCAAAACCATGGGTACAAGGTGTTTACACCTCGGTCTGTTGTCCTGAAGCTGCATCCAGAAAGCCTGCATGCATTGTCCTGGGAAAGAGGCAGGAATGAGGAAGGCAGGCAGGTATTCTAAAAATAGTGTTGGTTTCAACCTTTTGCTACCCTCAGGGATGTTGGTTAAAATGCAAATTACGGCTGGCAAGATGGCTTAGTAGGGCAAAACCAAACAAAATAAACAACTGTCAAAGCTACAAGATCAGTCTCAGAACCCTTAGTAGAAGGAGAAAACCAACCCCAGAAACTCCTGAAAGTTGTCCTCTGACTTAGGTGCCACTGGGTATATCACTTTGCTCCCACAATAAAAAAAAATATTAAATGCAGATTTAAAAGCTCCATCTCAGCAGTTGGGTTTGGCCATCAGTATTTTAAGTCACACCCCCTTTTTTAAAAAAATAAAAATTATTTTATGTATGGGAATGTTTTGCCTGCATGTCAGTATGCATATCAGGTTCATGCCTGCTTCCTGTGAAGTCCAGAAGATATAGGACCACCTGGAACTGGAGTTTTGAATGATTGTGCACCACCTTGTGGGTGCTGGGAGCTGAACCGAGGTCCTCTGCAAGGCCAACAGGTCAACAAGTACTCTTAACTGCTCAGTCATCTCTCCAGCCTCAAAGCCTACTTTACAGAGACACAGGATATTTTGTGCCCTTGGAGCCGGTCTCTGCAGTGGCTCTTGGTACCTGAATGGGTCCTAAAAGCTCTTTCTTTTTCTTTCTTTCTTTCTTTCTTTCTTTCTTTCTTTCTTTCTTTCTTTCTTCCTTCCTTCCTTCCTTCCTTCCTTCCTTCCTTCTTTCTTTCTCTCTCTTCTCTCTCTCTGTCCCTCCCTCCCTCCCTTCCTCCCTCCTTTCCTTTTTTTCCTATTATGTTTGTGAAACAGGGTTTCTCTGTGTAGCCCTGCATGTTCTGAAATTCACTCTGTAGACCAAACTAGTGTCAAACTCAGGTTCTGCCGCCACCAGGGGTTTTCATGTCCTCTAACGTTGAGGAGAAAATCTTTTTTTACTATCTTTTTTGCAACTGCCTGCTTTGTAACTCTTGAGACTTTAATATTTTCTCAAATTTTATACTGAAGAGGGATCTATACTTTTTGCAGGGGGATATGAAGAGATGTGTGCATTGAATCCCACTTGGCCTGTGAAGCCATGGGCACCTCCATCTCTGCCTTGGTGAGCGGAGGTATTTTCTTTCCTTTGGGATTTCCTCTGTTCATTTCCACAGAGGGAGCTCAGAAGCTTGTTTATTCATAGATCTCGGGGAGATTCTATCTGTGGCTTCTTCTCATTACCAGGAAGTGTGCCTTTCGCAGCATCTGAGCCTTTAATCCGTCCAGCTCTGAGAACCTTCAGCAAAGAACAAGCTGAGACATGTTGGGGTGGGGGTGTTCAGAAGAAGCCCTTAGGAACCATCACCAGGGTCACAGGGCATGGTGTGGCTATGGTGGAGCTTGATCCCAGGAGACACCTGGAGACCCAAGCGGTCGGTAGTTTGCCAGAGGAAGACTTCAGAGGCATTCTGTTGTAGCTCTGGACAGAAGTGATTGGAGCAGGATGGGCAGTAGAAACGGAGGTGGAATCTGAAGGGATTATAGATACATACATATAGGGTATATAGGAGTTCACATTCCTCATAGACAGAAGCTTGCATCTTTATTCAAACTGCTCAAGAAATCCTACCTCTTGTCTGGGTTTTAAAGTGCACTCGTTCTAAACTTTGACAGTAAATCCTATTCTGTGTTTTGTGCTGGCACCTCTCAGCAGCATCTGATTTAGAATATAGGCAGTTCTTGATTGTCCCCAGGCCCCCCTCCCGGTGTGAATTTTAGAGCAACTTTATGCTTACCCTGAAAGCGTCTATTTAGCACAAAAATAAAAGCCTGCCTTCTAGATCAAGGCCCTTCAACTCCTTTTACCTGCGAACATTTTTGTTGTTGTTTTTTGTTTTTCAGGACAGGGTTTCTGTATGTAGCCTTGACTGTCCTGGAACTTGCTCTGTAACCAGGCTGGCCTAGAACTCACAGAGATCCACCTGCCTTTGTCTCCCAAGTGCTGGGACTAAAGGTGTGCACCATCACTGCGCCCAGCACCCAAGAACTTCTTAATGCAAATCTGGAAATATAGTCATACAAATTAAATAAACATTTACTGATAACAGATGATAAATAGTTTTATTTTAAAACGATTTTAGCATTATATAATTTTTACCACTTACTTAAAGGAAACTTACATGCCGATAAGGTGAACGTGCTTGTTTGTTTAACACAGTACAACTCAAACATACACTAATTTGAAACATGCCGAGAAATGACGGCAGGAAAATATTAAAGTTCCTTGTTTCCTGTAATCAAACCATTATGTCTCTATGTGCGCAATACTGCTTGTATGTTGGTAAAAAACACTGCACTCTGTAAGGTGCAGCAGTCTGGAATCTCCAGTAAGGCATTTCTGGCCGTGTTCACGCGTGTTGCATGGTACGAGAGTGTGCACACTGTAAAGCGTATGTGCTGTATGTTCAGAACTAAGGCTACAGTGAAATTGGACACAACACTGATGAGCCGTGCAACCTACTTCTTGGTTGCTTGCTGATTTATTTATCTTTATGAGATGGTGTGGAAGTCAGAAGTCAGGTTGTTTTTTTTTTTTTTGTTTTTTTTTTTTTTTTTTTTTTTTTGCTTTTCAATACCGGTAGCACTGGCTGTCCTGGAACCAGATCTGTAGACCAGGCTGGCCTTGAACTCACAGACATCTGCTTGCCTCTACCTCCCGAGTGCTGGGATTAAAGGCATGCACCACTACCACCTGGCTTGGGTTCTTTATTTCTTACATTTACCTGCTGAGTAGAGATGCCTTCTGGCAGAATGGAAAGAACCCGTGTTGCTCTCCATCATTGCTGTGTCCCTTTCCCTTCCCAGATGTGGTGGCGGCCATCATTAGGATTCCTGTTTCTCACCATCTCTTCAAAAGCGGACAGGAAGCCTCCTTTGGTCCTGCCTCTCACTTCCTTGGTGCCTAGTCATTAGAGACTGTGACTTGGAATGGAGGTCTCATAGGATGACCTGTGGAGATATCTTGCTTATGCTCTAACAAATAAACCTTGCCTGATGATCAGAGCACAGAGCTAAGCCACTCGTTAGCCACAGAGGCCAGGTAGTGGTGGCACACACCTTTAATAATCTCTGCTCTCTGGGGACAGAGGCAGCCAGATCTCTGTGTGTCCAAAGCCATCGTGGGCTACACGAGATTGAATCTGTCTAAAAGAGAAACAGCTCTCACAAAGATGAGCCCAGGACTTGGGGTCACATACCTTTAATTCCAGCTCTAGGGAGGTGGAGACAGGAGTGATATGGCTGGGCGGGGAGGGGACTATAAGACTATAAGGCAGGAGGAGACAGGAACACAGGGCAGTCTGAGGATTCATTGAGATGGATGCAGTCTGAGAATTCAGTCTGAGATGCAGCCTGGGGGTTCATAGGGACAGGACCGCCCCTTTGATCTGAGCATTGGTAGAGGTAAGCACTCTAGTTGCTGGCCACCCTGCTTCTCTGATCCTTCAGTTTTCACCTCCCAATAGTTGACTCAAGTTTTTATTATTAAGACCAATTAGAATTCGTGCAACAGTGACCTGGTGGGCTTATCAGAAAAGTAGATTTCAATTTCTGTTGTCTATGATCTTGAGGCCATGCCTTTCGGGTTTGGGTTAGGCGCAGTGATGGATGCCTGGAATTTGATCTGTTAGCAAACAAGCAGAGTGTAAGTTATGTAAGCAGCATCTTCAGAGCAAAGAGGGTGGTAGAAACTTAGACAAGGTAAGCACCGTTTACAGTTGGGGGCCTCTGTGGCACCGGCGGGAGCGTAGGAGGATGGGTGAGCCTGGAGCATCAGAGCCTTCTGGTCCTACAGTGCCTTCATGGTGCAGGTTACTAAAGTTTCTTCTGCATGAGTTCCCTCATCTAGAAGGTGGGATTATGCCTTAGGAACATGTAGGATAGCACCTGGAACACAACAAGAGCTCTGTGAGCGTCCACTTCCAAGATCAAACGGCTTCCTGAACCCTGCCTGGTGTTCCCAACCCTGGAAAGGACTGTGTTCTGAATCAGTCCATTCACCAGCTTCCTGATAGTCCCTACCTGCAGCTCTGGAGCAGCTGTGTGTTTGGCTTCCACGCACCCCAATTAGGCCTAACTGTTTAACTCTACGTCACGCCACATCCTCTGGGTGGGCTCCTGGCGCAGGCAGGGCCGTCTCTAAGTAACCAATGTGCTTTCTCTCCCTGCCAGGCATGGTCCTTTGAGTGAATGACCTCTTTGGAGACCATTCCTCTGCTCCTCTTGCTACCATCCAGGAGGCAGAAGATTCCACAGGTCCAGAAAAGGCCCATTGTTCCCAGCTTTCAAGAAACTATCTCATGCTTGGGGCATTAGGATGACCATGGCTCTTGTATTCGGTGTCCTGCTGCTACTGGGGCTGTGTGGAAATATTGCTTCAGGAGGTCAGCCTGTGTCCACAAGCACTCCTGGGGCTTTGGATTATGAATTGCCTACCTCAGAGTATGAGACCCCAGACACATTCAATGCCGGGACCGTTGGCCCTCTCTACCGAATGGTGCACATCTTCCTCCAGGTGGTCCAGCCGAATGATTTCCCCCAAGGTAAGTGTCGACCATGGGGAAGATGGATTTGTCTCTCTTGGTTTCTGCATGACCACACCACCCACCTAGAAAATATTCAGCACTGTACAGTATGAGGTTCAAAAGCATTGGCCACACAGGGACAGAAAATATTTATATAGAATTTAAAAAGATGTGTATCTGGTTAAGCTAGGTGAGAAACAAAATAGAGTCTTTCTGCTTGGTTGTTTTTTCATTTTATCTTGCTTTATTTTGCCTTGAGCAATGCATTGTTCCAAAGCACACACATACCCAAAGTGAAAATTAGGGTAAAAATGCAAGTTCTTTGTTGTGGAATGAGAGATTGAGAATCACCTGGCAGCTGTTGCTTGCATCACTTAAAGATTTAACTCTTCCCTGCCCACCTCCAACTGCAGTCTTTGGGCAAGGGCAGATCCGTCTAGACCTGATTTCTGACTGAGGGTTTCAGTACTAGAAGTTTAGTGTGGGGGTGTTGGTCATTCAGAAGGCACAGCTTTGTAGTTCTCTGTACACAGTACTAATGTTTCTTTGGCCTTCTTGTAATTCTTTCACCTGGAAGCCCCCTGGTGTGTGTGTGTGTGTGTGTGTGTGTGTGTGTGTGTGTGTGTGTGTAATCCCAGGGACAGCACCATTAAGAGGACAGTGTTCTGCCTTGTCGGTGAATTTAGTTTAGGTTTCACCTCTGCTAAGCTTGACAGAAATTTGAGCATGGTCATTGCTTATAAAACTTATGGCACGGGGCTAGAGAAATGGCTCAGCGGTTAAGAGCATTGCCTGCTCTTCCAAAGGTCCTTAGTTCAATTCCCGGCAACCACATGGTGGTTCACAACCATCTGTAATGAGGTCTGGTGCCCTCTTCTGGCCTGCAGGCATACATGCAGACAGAATATTGTATACATAATAAGTAAATAAATAAATATTTAAAAAAATAAAAATAAAACTTATGGCAGTCCAAAAGATGAAAGTAGAAGACAATACAATGAGGAGAGTGTAGATGGTCTTGGCTAGTGTTTTAAGAGGCGCGCGCGCGTGTGTGTGTGTGTGTGTGTGTGTGTGTGTGTGAGAGAGAGAGAGAGAGAGAGTGAGAGAGAGAGAGAGAGAGAGAGAGAGAGAGAAAGAGATAGGGGGGCTTATCACCTGCTCACATTATGGGGCTGTGTTCGTTAAGCTGTTTTTACTTTTAATCATTCATTTGTTTTTATTTTATGTGCATAGTTTCATGAGCCGGGCCCTTGTACACAAATGAAGAAAGCTAGCCAAGGAAGCAGGAGCAGTGAGCAGGCAGGTGGCTTGGGCGCATTCGTTATCGTTCCTCTTGACTGTGGCTGTGATGTGATTGGCTGCTTGTGATCCTGCCTCAACTTCCCTGAAATGCTAGAGTTACTCAGACAAGAGATTGCATGCTAGCCTGAGGCTGAAGAAAGCTGTTCTTCACCTTGGGTGTCCCTGTGTCAGAATTTTGTTTTCTTGTTGGGTGGTTGCATATCCTTTCCTTGATGTATGCTTGGAGATAGAAACAGACAATCAGGCCTGTTGTGGTGGCTCACACAGGTAGGATTTGCTGAAGGAGGCAGAGGCAGGAAGATCATGAGTTCGAGGCCAGTCTGGGCTACCCATTTAAAAAAAAGAAAAGACATAGACAGTCAGGCACGCATCCTTTCTTTCCTCCTCTTTTCACCAGGTACAAATCTCACCATGAGGACTCTGCCTATATGCTTATATATACCATATACCTAATAACTAAACCTAGTTATTCCTCAAAGGCCATACTTTCAAAGGCCAACATAATGGATCTTGGCCTATAAATTTGGGAGGCACAGAGACAGCCTCTACCAGTGGATGTCTTAGTCTTCATTCTGTTGCTATGAAGAGACGTCATAACCAAGCAACTTTTATAAAAGAAAGCATTTAAATGGGACTTGCTCTCAGTTTCAGAGGTTTGGTCCTTTGTGATCACGGCAGGGAGTATGGTGGCACAAAGGCAGACGTGGTGCTTGAGAAGTAGATTGGAGTTCTACATCCAGATCCCCAGGCAACAGGAAGAGAGAGCCACTGGGCCTGGCTTGGTTTTTATGAAACCTCAAGGCCACCCCCAAAGAGGCGCTTCCTTTAACAAGGTTGCACCTACCCCTGCAAAGCAACACACGCCTCCTAGTCTTTCTCAACCAGTGCCACTCTTTGATGACTAAGCACTCAAATGTATGAGCTTGGAGGGGCCATTCTTATTCAAACCACCACAGTGAGCAAGAGAGCATGCTCATGGAATAGTTTTTGCCATGGTCAATAAGAGTCAAAGCTGGAAGAAGGAAGAACAGGCAGCATCCATCGAGAAGCATTTATTGATCGTCCCAACCTCCTGAGGTGTGCCCGTTGGATGTTGTGAGCCAGAGTATGATGAGTGGAATTGGGGTTGGGGAAGAATCTCATCAGTGCTTGGAGGGCAGATCACACGGAGGTGGATGCCCCTCCAGTGGTTTGGAGGGATAACTATGAACATATAAGGAAGTGGAAAGTCGGGGGAAGGCACGCGATGAATGCAGTATCCATTTCATGTCCAAAGGACTGTGTTTATGTCTTAGCTTTTGCAATGTCCCGCAGGGATGATCCAGGTCAAGTTGTCAACTCTCAGGTCTTTGTTTCTTGTAGATGGAGTCTGAACCACTTTATGGTTCTTATTTGTGAGGCTTAAATGAGATGTTGTATGTAAAGCCCATGTTTAATACCGTGCCTGATGGTCATTATGAAGAGCCGATAATTGGGGTTTCTATTAACTTTATTACCTGAGAGTAAAAGTTGGCCAAATATAATGTGTAAGTTGATGTAAGGAGGGGACGTGGGAACAAGATGACTCCCTAGCATCATTTTTGTTTTTTTTTTATTTAACTTCCTTATTAACTCTTTGGGAGTTTCACATCATGTACCCCAATTTTGCTTACCTCCCAGTCCCCCCATATCTTTCCTCATTTCTGACATTTCCCCACAAAAGGAAACAAATTTAAAAAAAAAAAAACATCCCTCCCCCAGAAAAAAGCAAAGCAAAACAAAAACCACAACAACAGAAAAATCTTTTTGCTTCTCCAACACCTCTTTTGTTCGTCCTGGTGGCATTAAAGTCTTCGGGGTGCCATATAGCATACCTCTTTGTTCCATCAGTTTTGTGGGCAAATGCTCATTGTAATGAGTTGCTGGTCTGGTTCAAGGCCTCTGGTTTCTGGGACACCATTCTCACTGGATCCTCACCAGAACTCCCCTGGAATATTCTGTGCCGACCTGAGTCTTGGAGATCTTGCGGGTATCCAACTCCTAGGCATCATTTAAATGTCCTTGCTTCTACTCCCTCGGGAATATTCTACATAGAATTTCCCTGGTGAAAGCAGTTTTATGACTTCCCAGGGTATCCAGATCATGTCTGGTTGGCAGGCCTCCCAGTGGCAGAATGGGCGCCAGGATTCAGAACTTAGTCCTCTATTCTGAGTGGTCGTCTCTCCTCACAAGGATGTCTGCCTCTAACAGGCTCTTGGATTTTCTCTGCTTCTTTGTTCTTTACTCTGTCCCCAGCAATCAACCCGCAATGCTTGCTTTGCAACCTTTGAACTCACAGAAATCCTCCATAATTTATGGAGGTAGGTAATGGCCATAGGTGGGGTATCCATGATAATCATGTCTTTTTACAGGTTGGGAAACTCAAAGAGTACATGCTCAAGTTGTTAGAAAGAGGCAGACTGGGAGACCTTTGCTTCTGAGGCTCATTGTTTGCTCAGTTGTCCTTGGCTTCCTATGGGTAATTTGCTTTTCCTTTTATTTTAATATGGTGCTCTTAAAATAACCATGGGCTAGGTATTGCAACAAAACTGCAAACAATGTAAAGAATAACACCCAGACTTTTTTTTGAAAAAGGAGTTAACATAACCATAAGAGAATATGAGAAGTTACAGCCTTTGCATGTAGATTGTGGGCACTGCAGACGGTCCACTGCACGTGTTAAATAGTACCTCGTCCAGTTCTGTGTGGTAACAGTGTACTTGTTCTAGACTTAGCCATTCTCAGGAAGAAAGCAAAGAAAAAAACCAGACTTGTCTGCATTTAGTTTTATGAAATATTGTAAAATAATTGTTCACCCTGCTTTAGCATATTCTTAATTAGATCTTAGGACGGTTGGCCTATTTCAAAAAGTATCTCCAGACTAATATGATTCGACCCTGGGATCTGGTGCATTGACTAGGAGGTAGGCGCTTGAGGGGGAGTGAGGCTGGGTTCCCATGGAGCTGGGGATCCCCTCAGGTTCACTGGCTGAGTGATCAGAGTTGAGTATCGGGACAGAGGGCTGTGCCTTGGCGCCCAGTGAGGCATGAGATGGCCTTGTCGAGATTCCCTCTGCCTCCTCTCAGAACTCCCGAAGACCTTAGAGCCTCCTGCCTCCTCCCAGCCCTGCCTTTTTGCCCTCACTCTCAATTCCTACCATTTTTTGTTGTATAGAATTTATTTACCCGTGTTACAGGTTTCAGATTAGTTTCCTAGAGAAAGCTGGGGGCAGCTCATCTCCAAGTCTAAACCCCTGGGGAAGCCAATCAACCATGGATCCTCTCAATAACCATGGCCAGAGTGGTGTTGAGAGGGCCCGGCTGCTTTGAGCCATTGCTGTCACCACAACATCAGAAGCAGAGAGAGGCGTTTCTGGGAAAGTTCCTTGGCCCTGGGGACAGTCCGACAGGTGTGTCTGTACTAACATCTAGGTACTAGATTATAGCACCTGTACTAGATGACACACTAGATTATGGCACCTGTATGTTCTCACCTAATTCATACAAAGCAGTCATTGTCCTTTATAGATCGTGTGACTCACGTTGGCACTGGACCTTGCCAAAAATAAGGTCACCAAGGCAAAAACCAAAGTGTCTTTTTCCTTGTTCCCCAGTCTCTGCTGGGAGGCCTGTACCTCTCCTTCCATCCCAGCAACTTTACAGGATGACAAGCTGCCCACTCTGAACTCTCTTAGTGTC